ATATAAATAAATTCTAAGAATTCCAAATATTAATTATCTCTGCAGAATTTTTCTAAAATTGATGATTGAATAACGGATTCCAATCTTTATAATAAGTATATTTATGAAATTCAATGAATTCTATTATCAGGATGAATTGGATCGAAAATCTGTATTTCTCTAGATGAAATCTGATTCAAAGTAATTTTATATAATGCGTTTATCAAAAAAACGATAGATATGATATTTTTAAGAGTATATATCATCAAGACGAAAATTCTGATTCGTCAAGTTATATCTTATTCCTAAATCTAAATATTAGCGCGGAGAGATTTCTAGGGCAGAAGGTCCGTTTTCTATGATCAGTGCAGCGGAAGAATTATGATCCAGGAATAAATTTATATTATCAGAAAATTCTCGACGGAGAATCTGAGCTAGGAATCTACGGAAGAAAGATCTTGCTCTTGCCATATCTATTGCATTATCAATCCGAATGACGAAATTCCAATCTATCATAACGGATAATTATAGATTTGCAATCCAATATAAGATGCAATATAATATATTCGTATGAATTCCTGCTCATCATCAGGACGAAAAAATCCGATATTCCAAATTATATCTTATTCTCATATTTTCATATTTGCGCGGAGAGATTTCTAGGGCAGAAGGTCTATTTTATATGATCAATGCAACGGAAGAATTATGATCCGGGAAAAAGTTCTTAATGTTATGAAATTGTTGGCGTAGATTTGGATTTATTCTAGTATAAAATTCGCGACGGAGATTTTTTGCTAGGAATCTATGGGGCAAAGAGATATTCTTATCATTTTTATTATATTATCAGACCGTATGGCGAATTTTTGATTTATCGTAATAATCTTCGGATGAATATATATATATTCATTTTTTTCAATGATTCTCTATTCTGAATATCTAAGATCAAATCGGAAAGCATATGATGAAGATCCAAAATATTGAATTTATATCTTCAATCAAATCATATCATAAATCATAATTCAAAATAGATTCTATAGATGAAATATACTATATTGGATATATGAATCAAATAATATATTCATAGATTTTTTATATAATTTGGAAAGATAAAATAATGAAAAAAAATGAATAATGAATATAAATGATTGACGAAATAATAAGATCTCTATATTCATATATAAATGATGCCAGGATAATTGATAGATATCATTCTCAATATTTTTATGATTATCATCGTTCTTATTTCCTTATCATTAATATCATTCTTGATTATATTATCATGATATGATGAATCTAATTATTCATATTAATAAAATTCTTCTTATTATTATCATCATAATAATCGCTCAGATTTTTTTTGAATAATATTATGATTATTCTTATTATCAAAAAAGAAATATTATTCATATGATTCTTAATATAATCTTTATCATATCTATTTTCATCATTCTTGATATTATCATTATCATTTGTGCTAATATTTATATTTCGATCATTATTATCAGCATTGATCTATCTCTTTCTATTGAAAATAGAATTATATATATATCGATACGATTGATATCAAAAAAAAGATCTATAATAGATGATCAGTTTTAATGAGGCATATATATCTGATTGCGAATATCTATAATCATTATATATATTTCAGATATAAATAGGAATTCGAAATTATTGAAGTCCTATTCAATATATATTTTAGAAAATGAAATCTCTAATCTTTGATTTCTTTTTTCTCTATAGAAAAAATCTCTTCGAATGATATTCTTCTTTGAATGATATCTTTATGATTTCTGATAATATGAAATTTTCATGATTTCTAATAAGAAAAATAAATCCGAATTCCTATTAATTCCTATTCTCTAAATTTTCTATATATGAATTCCTTATTATATATTTTTTCAAAAATGAAAAGAGAATTCTCAGATCTTGATGAATTTTTCTAATTTTCTATTAGTCATATTCTCATGATTCTCAATAGATATGATGATCTGAATAAATAGTATCTTCTTTGAATAATTAAAATTTAGTAATATATTTATATATAAAAAATAAAACGAATAGGAGTCCAAGATTTAAGAATATCTAATTATATTGATTAATGAATGAAATCAGGAATTCATATGATCAATTTCAAGATCAATCTATCTGAGATTTTTTCCAATCTAGAGATTCAATTTTAGAAGATTTATTCGAATCTAGAAATCACTATGATATAGAATTTATATCCAGAAAATTTGGATTTTCCTTTCAATATAGAATAAAATCAATAAGATATTCTGAAATATGAATGGCGAGGAATCCGTAATCAAAAAATTCTCCCTGCAGATACGAAATGAATTTAATAAAGATTGAATTTGGGGAAAAGATAGGATTAAGGATTTGAGATCTACTATTTAAATTTTGATATATAAGATATTTGACGGAAAAATTTGAAATATTATAGATATTCTTCAGATTGATGAAAAATATTAGAAGAATTGAAATGATTTCGATTCTTATATATAAAAATATAGATATTGGAGATTGAGATTATGAAGAATAAATATATCAAATATGAAGATCCTTTCATCTATATGATAGCCAGAGATATTCTTTAGCAATATTTTCTTAAAATAAGGAATGAAATTATTCTGAATTTATAGATAGAATAGAATTTTCTTTTCTAGAGAATAAAGATATATGAGAAATAAATTGGAAATTGATTTGAAAGAAATAGAAAATTCAATTCTTTATAGGAATTTCTTTTGATCTAATCAGTGGGATCTTGCCTGGGATCGTGATCTGAGAAATTAGATTTGAGATTTCAAATATTCAAGATTAAAATATTCCGCAGAATATCAGATTTCCAGAATATATTCTTTCTAGATTTCGAAAATAGAATCTTTCAGATTTCCAAAATTTCCAGATCAAACCGTTCTAGATTTCCAGAATTCTAGAATTGCAGATTTATGAATTTCCAGATTTCTAGATTAGAATCTTTCCAGATTTCTAGGTTAGAATCTTCCCAGATTCCTAGATTAGATTCAAATTTGGAAGTCTGGAAATCTGGAAGTCTAGAAAAATCGAATATAGAAATCTGGAATGTTGGATATCTAGATATTTCGAAATCTGGAAATCTAGAAAGATTTCATTCTGGAAATCTCTAAAAAATTCAATAATTTGATTAGATGAGAGATTATATCGAGAAATCTGATATGGAATTCAATGATTCTAATCAGATACGGGAAATCATGATAGAGAGATAAAATATTTATATAAAGATTTAATTAAATCGTATTTCTCAGAATATTTTTGTCAGAATATCTCAATAAAATGATATTATTATTTCTAATTATATCGTTCTTTTTTTCCGAACCTCTGCGAAAATCTCTATAATAGATTCAATAGAAATTATAATTCCAAGAATTTAGATTTTTTCGGAAAAATTAAATGCTCTAAAAATTCTTAGATCTTTGGTCTAGGGAGGTGCTGAAAAATCTCGGAGATCTTTATTCGTGCGATTATCTCCTCTTCTTCTCTTTTCATCTCATTTATCTAGCTTTGATTATCTAAACGCGGTTCGGTCAAATAATAATTAAATTCCAAATTCTCTTATAATTCGTAAATTCTCGATAATCTAGCAATCAGATTATCAATCTATCAATCTCTCCGTAATTCAATCTATCATTTTGATGATTTCTAGGTCAATAAATCTGATATCCTATCAAAATATGAATCTATCAATCGATTTATGAATTTATAGATCTATCTATCTTCTGAAATATCTCAAAATATTAAGAAATTTTATAAAAAAAAAATATAAGAAAAAGAAATCAAAGATATATCTCTAGAATCTTGAATTTCATCGAAGACAATCATCTCAGAAATATTTCTTCTATGAAATATGCCGATATTTCTATATTGAAAATCAAAAATTTATTCAGAAGAGAAAAAGAATATCGCCCTAGAATTAGTCCGCGATCTACAACATATATCCTTTTTCAAAATATAAAGATATCTAAAATATCATTATTTTTTCTATATATTAGTTTTTGCAAATAATCGTATTTAATTTAATCAATTTAGATAATCCTATTCATCGTATTCAGAATAATATTAATTTTATGCCAAAATATTAATCAAATAAGTCATATTGAATATCATGAAATGAATATAAAAATAAAATCTAGAAATTCAATGATTTGACCGCAATTCCTTCAAATATTCGAAGCTTAAAAGATAAATCAATCTAATATTTCTTTTATATCTAGTATTATTCTTCATATTAAATCAATATTCGAATATATATTCTAATATGAAAGAGCAAAAAAAAGAAAAAATAAAGAAATATCAAATTTTATAGAAATCTATGAAATCAAATCCTAAATCTTTAATGATATCTTCTAATAAATATATTAAGAAAAAGAATTTCAAAGATATCATTCTTAATGAATTATCGGAGAAGAATATAATAATTATTATTTGAAAATTGAATTTCATCATATTCATTTATATCTTGACGAATTTCACGATATAATATATCATAATCTTGAAATATATAAGAATTTAGTTCTCATCAAATATATTTCTTATTTCGTTCGTTTCTTCATATCGTAGATTTTTTCTGCCTCATCAATCAAATTACGTCTTTAAAATATTTCTCCAGATTTATTAATTGATATTAGTATTCGTTATAAATAATTATTCTATAAATTCTTGATAGAACTAGTCTATTTAATATTCATCTATCTAAAGAATTCATGACATGAATCCAATCTCATATAGAATCAAAATATCTTATCTCTTTTTTATTTTTGTCTTGAAGTATCTAGCATGTTGCATTGAGCAGAAACGAGGCTTCGTCCCTCAATTTATTGAGATTTGAAGTGCTCAAGCTGTTGTATTCATCATGAAACATGGAAAGAAATACGCCGCCTTTCCATATATTGGGAAAGATAGCGCTACTCTTGGGGAAGTTGCGTTCGCAACTCTTGCCCAAATTCGTGGGCTACGCAAGCCCCAGATTGCCAGTTGAGATATCATCGTACGTAGCCAGACGATGTGAAATTAATTCTCTCGAGTAACAACGGCTTGTGCGGTGAGAAGCTCTCATTGACAAAGCCCAGCCTGGAGGGAGATGGACTAGACTCCCCGGTGGGCGAAGTGGTCTTGCTCAATTCCTTCAGCTCTGGCGGAGGCGAAGGGAACTTCTGCTGTTTTACAACGGGTGGGCGATCGTCTGGAGTCAGGAATTTGATTGCAATGCTATCACCAGATGCGTCACAGTGCGTGCTTTCGCATTTATGTATTTTGTCGTTCACCTGACAGTTCTTGCAGAGCCATCGATGTCCGCATTCGGAGCACTCAAGAATCGGGGCGTATGGTTCCCGGTTGGTCTGGTAAACACTTTGCCAGCCTTGTCGAGTTGAAGATTTCCACAGGTAACGCAAATAGTAGTTCACACCCAACCATATTAAGAGCAACACCACGCCAACCCATATGTCCATTGCAGTTTTGCTCTCCATCTCCATCCGGTCATTGATGAATCCAAGGAGAACCGTTTGTATACAAATCAGGACCTGGAAGCTACATGCAAAGATAATGTATGAGTCAGCTGCGGTCAAATATTCCTTGCGAGGCAGCGTGTCGTCAATGACGTATCGGTATGCCAGAACCGCCAGAAAGCATGTGCTCAAGTGTCCAAGTCGGCCGCTGACATCATCGAGAGGTATCGAGAAAGTGCACAAGCTAATGATATTGACCAAGAATACCATAAAGAGCACGCTGTGAAAGTAGTAGTCACCTGTTGAGGCAGAGGCTGAAGCAGCTACAAACGCCAACGTGAGAGGGTAGACAAGCTGCCTAGGGCCTGGATTTAAAGACATCCCACCACAACAACCTTCACACGCTACATCAAGATCTACTGCATGTCTGAGGGTCATGTTGTTGGCATGCTGAATCCGAGACATGTTCTGGTCATAGGATCGCAGGCTGGTGAGGACTTGAAACTTGAAAAACTTTCACGGCAAAAAGATTATCATGTAGGCCGTATTCCGCCAGCCCCCAAACCTATCTGCAGATATCTGCAGTATTACAATTTGTGCGGTTTATGTCGTTAAAAGCTACGAATCTGAACCGCTGCTTGCTGACAATTTGCATGTGATCAAGACAGTTTTCCTGTCGACCGCTTTCCGCAGTCGCACTTTATCCCAATATTGGCCACGGCAACAGAAAAAATCCTTCAGCTGTTGAGGGAAACTGGGACACGACAAATTGAAGCCCACCTTTCCGCTCCAGGTGGAAGACGACCGAAACACAGGAGCGCTGCACTTCAAACGGCAGGTACCTGCAAACAGCTGAGTTCATCTTCTGAATGTTAATGTCGAAAATTGTATCTCCATTTGTCGTGTGTGAAGGCACACCGACGTGACGACACACAAGCACAACAAAGCTGATCACAGGCAAAAGGTGAGTTTTGCTGCTGTGGTATTTTTGCTGTCATGGCGGGAGCAGCTTTTTGTTTGGCTCTTGTGGCTTTGTTGTTGACAGCAAAAAAAACCCACGCTCCCCTCCCAACCAGCCCCAACAGCAGAACAATCCCAACGGCATTCCAACGACAAAAAATGAACACACACTGCCCCGTGCCAGGACGGCCCAATAGCAAAAAAACACCATGACCCCCGGTGAGGGAGGCCCAGCAGCAGCAGCAAAAAACACACCTTCTGCACTTGATGCAAAATGAGAAAGCAAAAACGACGACCATTCTGCAATTTGCGACAAGCACACGCACTGTGGCGGAAGCCCGATCAGGACGCCGAATTGGGAAATGCCCCACAGCTGCACTTCGCGAAAGGCACAAGAGCAGGACGTCGAATTGAAAGAACGCGCTACGTGGGAGCAAATCGCGAGCTAAAATCGCTTCAAAGGCGAGATGCTTCTGTACAGTACTGCACGAAATGAGGCGTCAAAAACAACTACAGTTTTGCACTTTGCAACGAGCACGCCCACGAGACGTAGCGGGAGTGCGATCAGGATGCCAAAGGGACGACACTGTAGACGAGAGCAAAATTTTAAATGATGCCCAAGTGTAGGACCTGTTGTGGGCCGAAATCCTCCCAAAAGCTTCAGAACTCACATTTGCAGCCAGTTCGCATGGCTAAAAAGAACGGGGCTGTTCAGTCTTTTGCACGGCTGAGAACAGGGGTTGGGGGAGCCGTGCTCTTTGCGAACACAACGATGAGATGTCATGCTGATCATGGCAACCTTTGTGCAAAAGCTAGGGGTTGGAGATCTGCAGCCCGCCATTTGCGAACAGAATGATCAGATTACATGCTTTTCAGACAAACGGTTTAAAGATACACACTCGCAGCCATTTGCTTGCCATTTGAAAAAAAAGACTGGAGGGTTTGTAAGGGCGCAACCGCCGCATGTACATGCCAACCCTTCGAACCAACCGGGGGCGTTGGGGGATCGCACCCATGTGCGAACAGAATGACCAGATGACATGCGCTCAGCGGAAACGTTCAAATATTCACACTTGCAGCCATGCGCTGCACGGCCTTAAAAAAGCGGGTGCCTCCCCATTTGCCAACAGTGTGATCAAATGACGTGCTGCTTAGACGAATGTATACACACACACACACATTGCAGCCAGTTTGTTGCCAGTTGTTTGGCAAGGTTTGAAAAAAGCGAGGGTTTGGGGGGGGGGGAAGCCCCCTTCCCATTCGCAAGCATCGTGTCTGCCAATCCTTGGGAAAAGCGGAAGGCGGCAGGATGGGGGCGCGGGGGCACAACAGAATGACAAGATGACATACTTTCAGAGGAAACGTTCAGAGATACACGCCTGCGGCGAAAGTTTTGCACGGCTTGAAAAAGAGGGCGACCCCACCCCCATTTGCAAACATAATGATCAAATGTCTTGCTGATCGCGCCAACCTGTCGAAAAAAGTGAGGGGTGGGTGAGCTCGTTGAACCAGCAGCAAATGAAAGAGTTCGCGCTATGCATCCTGCAGATTCTCTGCAATCGGCAAGAAAAGAGCAGGCACGTTCTACTGCAGAAGCCTGAATCACTAGCCACGTCATCCACCCTGTTGCCTGGGCTCAAGAGCTGTCGCTTTGCTAACAGCAAGATTTTAGCATAAGGTCCTTTTCCACTCCTCTGGACTCAAGTCTCTCCAAAACCTTAGACGTAAAGCCCCAAGCCGCATGACTCAAGTCCGAAGTTCTGAACTCTCAGAGTAGCAACCTAGGGAAACTAGCTGCACCAGTACCCTAACCCAAAGCTCAGCACACTGTCATCCCCTCAATAACGAAGCAACATCTTGAAGATCTCTTGCGGGCTATACAGCTATGCTACGAAAAAAAACCTTGGAGGATAGAAGTGTGTACTTCAGCCACTTGCAAAACATGGATGAAGATCAGAACATGTATTTCTTGCTATTCTTTGCAGGATTTCCAGGCACCATGTTCCTTGGAAAAATAATGGGCAAGCATTTGCAAAACGTGGACGAAGATGCAAGCACATGCATTTTGGATGAGTTTTGATGCAATCTGCTGGGTATTTACAAAATAATGTGGGGGAGGCCCACATTTGTAAAAAAAAAAAAAAGAGTGGAAATATGGATTTCTCAAGAGGCTCTGAACGAGAACACCGCTCTGAGCGAGAATGCACGCGCTCTTCATGCAAGAGCGTCATTCTGCTTCAAAATAACTGGGCACTCCGTGCAAGAGCTCAACTTGGAACGAAAACGCAAGGGCGTTCCAAATGTAAGGTCGCTCCATGCGAGAGGGGAAAGCCAGATTACGCGAACAAACTACCAGAGAACGATGTTGAGCCAAAATGCAAGGACACTTCGTACGAAAGCGTCATCTTCTACAGAGAGCTCAATTTTGAGCGAAAATGCGAGGTCATGTCATTCCGATTGAACTGTCGAATACTCAAAGATGCTCCACGCGAGAGGGCAGTTATGAGTGAAAAACCATGCTCAGAAGCGGGATTCCGCGCGAAAATACGAGATGTCCCACGTCTCAGCCCGATTTCCATAGAAATGCAAGGGCCGATGTGTGTTTTTCGCTGCTGTGGCACGGTGGGTAGGGAGCAAGAGCTTGTCTCTTACCGCTGCGGGGGGGTTGCTTTGTTGGTGTTGATGTTGTTGTTGTTGTTGTTGTTGTTGTTGTTGCGCGGTCTGTTTTTTTTCCATAGTGGCAGGTGCTGCTTTTTGTTTCTCCTGCAGTGTCCGTTTTGTCAGTTGGCTGTTGTGGCAGCTGCATCTTGTCTTCTGCTGCGGCGGTGTTCTGATTTTTGCTTCTGTGTTTGTTGTTTTTTGTTCTTTTTCTTTTTTCGGTTGTGGTGGAGGGTATGTTAGTTTATGCTGTTAACTGTCGTGGCCGGGGTGGGCAGGCTTCTTTTCTGCTGTTGTGGCGGCGGTGTTTTTTTCTTGCCGTCGTGACCGGGGACCAGATTCACTCAATTACTGACCTGCCCGGGTTCGTCTGAGATGGCCCAACAACAAAAAGGCAACAATAGCCGAAAGAAAAAAAAAGAAGTTCGATGTTGCAGCGACCTTTTTGCATAAGACAAGCCAAGTCAAGGAAGCGCCATATGTATGTTCTGATGATGTGGGAACCACAAGTCTTAGAAAGTTGTCTCATGTCCCGCCTGTCGCAATGGCGAACATAGACCGTGCATTTCTTTTGCATGTCGTCATCACAGCCCCACATGTCGCAAACCTGGGCAATCTTCTTGCTGCCAACCAGCGGCACAAACCTCAGGTGCCAAACGCCGAAACAGAGAGGCGAGGCATGGTGAGGCAAATAGTCAAACCAAGAAACCAAGCTGCGAACTTTCGAGCCTCCTTTACTCAGTTTGCTTGACAAGTAGCTGGAACTCGTCAATGGTCTTTTCGGCTGTGAGCCGTATCCTGAACGTGTTGGAATGTCTTCAGGGATGTTCGAAATGCCCTTGGCCCAGGCCAAAACAATGTTTTTCTTATGGGGTGGAATGCTGGTTGGCGTAATATAGAAAGAGTTGAAGTCAGGATACGTCCGGGATTCCTTAACTCCAGGTTGACATGAAAGGCACCAGCTCGCTTCAGATATCAAGTTGAGTACAGGTGTGCGGTCATGTACAACTTCAGCCAAGGCCATGGCAACCCTGCTACAACCCACAAGGTAGCCAAGGCCTGTCCTGCAGAGCTGGCGGTCCAGCGGAAAGCTGTGCAGCTCCAGGCTCTCTTGAAATGTGGCATAGTACTTCATGGAATATGAAACAAAACCGCCCATGTCACCGCACCAGAGCAGGGTTCGTCTCTCCAAGGTTCGCACGCCCTCATTCTGCATGTTAAGAAAGGAGAAGTCAGGGAAGAAGTAATCTGCCCAAACAGGGTCCTTCATGCTGACATACTCGCTTTTGGAAAGGGTCTGCATCCGCTGCGTCGCATCGTCCAAATCCACAAATTGAATGTCCCCGTTGGCATACTTTCGCGTTAGTAAAATTCGCTTTCGATCAAGATGACGCTCTTTGGACTCCTTACCCTCGCCTTCGTTTCGAAGAGTGACTTCTGTTTCAAAGTTCCTGAGGTCGGGATCCAGCCAGGCCAACTTGAGCACAAAAATCATGTTAAACCTTGGCTGCCATTCAGAATTAAACTGGCAGGTCGCGAAAGCAGAAGCAGCAGGGGGTGTTCTGTGGGAAGAACCAGTGGAAAACAAGATAAGCCATCGAGAGTGTCACTGCACCTGCAGTCGCAACCGACTTCCTCGGCAGGTCCCAACAGGCTTCAAAGAGAGTCTTGCACTCTATGAAAACCAAGTTACTCTTCATTCTGGTCATCCACTTTCTTCAACTCATGCGGATTTACATCAATGTAAACCTTGATGGCCTTAGAGCAATCAACCTTGGTGCCACCATTCTTGTAGCAATTCTTGATGTACTCCGGGAGGACCTTGCTCAAGCCGTCAATGTCGGCAATGCTTGAAATGGCATATGGCTACACTGCGCATGAAAGCCAGATGTCCGTGTGCTTGGAACGGCCAAATGCCCTACTTACGGCCCTGGCCTGTGCAAGGAACAGAAATAACAGGGGTAGCGTGTACGAGTCAGCTCAATTCCATGCGTTACACGCAGAACACAGCTATACACAGCTGTTGAATCTTCCAAAGGCTACCAAGATACACCGTCTACGTAGCCGTCAGGCTGAAGCTCGCTGATGTCCTCCTCTTGCAGAGGGAATTTACAGCCCAGCAAGATGCTGTGCAACATAGCACAAGAACTTGACTGCTAGAAGCTTTCAAGACAGGAATGAGGTAAGACTGCGGCTCAACACTTTGCATTGCACCTAGCAAGACTCATCCTAAATGTCGAGGCAGCCACATGTAATCAACTTCTAGACCAAGGACCGCTGCGGTTGCTTGGGCTTGCAAAGCATCATGATCTGTTGCTGTACTCTAGCGACTTACAATGAGACAAACAGCTACAATATTGATTCACAAGTCCTTTGTCAGGACGTGCCCCCACCTCGTCCGAACTGTCAGTCTCGGCAGTGTATGCGCACGGCGTGTAGACACATCGATTGTCATCGGCCCACATCTGGCTGGAGCAGACTATTGCGCCCTCAGTGTACAAATACTACTGTGGCAAACTGACATGCTTCGCTGCGTGAAAGTTGACATCTTGCATCTGTTCGTATGCGGCCCAAGATCATGAAAACGACGTACCACTGCGAGCACAATGCATCGATAGGCAAGCTTGCTCCCGCAGCAACACTGCACAAACCACCTAGTGAGCTTACCCTGACCTTGCCTTTGTTCTGGAAGGCCAACCTGCCCCCAAAAAATGAACCGGAACAGAACCTGATCTAGGGGGAGAAGTCAACAGTAGGACCAAGAGCTCGGAATCCTGCAGCCGGCTGACTAGTCAGAATATCATCTGGAATCCTCTCATCCCTGCGCTAGGCTAAGGTAGAGGTGCAGCATGCGCCGTACTCACAAAGGTAACTCGATTGCTACTCCCTTCCTGGGTCTCCTCCTCCTCTGCTTCTGCCGCTTTCGCTGCGGAGGTTGCACTGCGGCTACTAATACTTGCATGAGTGTCCATATGCTCCTGCTGTTGCTCCTTCAGTATTGCGACTGTCATGTTCCTCGTTCTCCAGTTCTTGCCCGTCACTTTTTCATCATGATGTCCAAAAAACACATGTTGCGGAACTGTCTGTAATTTCGAACACTGTTGCCCTGTTCTTGCTACAACTGCTATGCCTGCTACTGCGTTCCCAAACGCACGCCACTACTTTGCACCTACAGAAATGTGAATATATGGCTTCCTCTAGTGTTGCCGAGGGTTTGCCACGCTTCGATCACTTATGCTTACTACCGCTAGTCTTCGTACTCTACTGGTTGTGTTGTGTGCAAACTAGCTTATGAGCAGGAACTGTCAAGATGGGGGAGCGCCTTTTCCACCCTCACTGATTTGTATGCAGCATGAGCCTGCGCAAAAGGTATCGCAGGGGCTTGCCCTGATTCGGCTCAAGAAGGCGTTTGCCTTGCGGAAATGCAGTGCTGCCCAAATGGTGGTAGACCTAACTTCAAGAGATGAGGAGACAAAGGACAACACTCCATCGGCTCGAAACCAAAAGCTATGTATATGCCCCTTTTTGAGAGCTGAAACAGATTATCCCGCCATGACTGTACACCCTCCCAGCAAGAGAGATAAGGCAGGATTTGAATGCCGAGAAAGCTGAGGTGCCAAGATTGCATGCGCTCAGCTTTACCCTGCAGTGAGCGGGGGAATTCTGTGTACACGTGGAAAAAACTGGCATCCACTTGTGGAGTCGCTGGCTGCTACTCCAGTTATCTGCCATCGTTCGCTCCCAACGGTGCGCTGAGTCTGAAGACAGCACCAAATTAAGCACTCAGAGCAAGTGGGCTGCACTTGCAGAACGTCAAACCTCTTGAGCTCGACTATGATGGTTCAACAGCATCTGATCTCAGTGCTCCTTCGCCGGCTGCTCATGGCCAGACAGCGCAGTCTAGGAGCATGAGCTCTGTACGAAAGTAGAAAAACTTGTTTTAAGCTACGTCAACAACCTCTTTGGCGCCATGCATTTCGCATAACAGAGCGCATGCTCTACACGAGGTTCCAAAACCAATCAGATCTGCAGGGAGATCTGAGTGTCGGCCTTGGAAGCTCCCATCTCAGCGGAAAATTCCGAACGGCGGATCATTTTGTCTCTTGGCCATTCCTTGGATTAGGTGCATCTGTGGTTGATCACATTCAGACGCAATGCACTGGTCACTGCGGCACAGGTGTTGCCAACGCATTCAGGGGTGTCAAGAATAGCTGCTAGTTGCCTGGGCGGGTGGCTCTTACACCGAACCGTATCATGAGCACCCTCCAAGCATCATGAGCACCAGTGGCTGGCCGGCGGAACCCAACCATGCCGACGCCTGTTCGCTTTCAACGCGTGACGTCGCACTTCGCTTGACTTGCCTTCTTGCTCTGAAACCTGTCAGCTGATTGACTTGACTGGATGTCACGAGCAAGTCAGGACAGGCCATACAACTTCACATACTGCTGCCTACTTGCCTCCAAGCAGGCCGTTTGGCCAGTGATAAGATGACAAATGCTACCCCATTGCTGCCAAGGACTCCAGCCGCGAGGACGAGCCTTGAGCTGGCCAGAAGCCTGAAGACGAAGAGCCCCAGCTCCCTCCCTCTGACAATATTCATCTCGAATATCCAAAATCATCAGGAATTAGGGAAACCAGCTGTCTACTAAGGACCTGCCCAGTCTGCCTATGCTCTGAGGTACCCTCGCTGACGCGTCGTCAGACCTCTCACAATCGTCCAAGGAACGCGGTAGAAACGCTCCAGGATTGCCTCCGCCGTGTCCTGGCCCGCTGTGCAGCCACGACGTGGTGTTCAGAGCAAGGCTTCTGAGGTCCTGCGCTTGTCGAGGTGGCGGCGAGAACCTGAGACCCGACTCTGCTTGCAGCAAAACATGCCTACAGGAAGCAAAGTTGCTCCAGCACAAGCAGCCATGTGCCCATCACAGGGCCTAAATGAATTGATCTCTCCCTGCAACGACACTAATTGATAGCAATAAACGACTAAAAGGCTTCGTACAGAGACTGCTAATGTTCAGCCTACACTCAGCAGAACTGTTGGCACCTAGCTCTTTCCCTTCTGGCACATGCACAAGAACGGTCTGAGGATTCAGCGAAGAGCCTTGCAAGGTGTTTGCAAAGCACATGTCATCTTAGGTTTTCCGTTCTTGCACAGGCTGATGCCCCTCTCCTCCCGTATGGTGTAAACACCATTTCTTTCCCAAGCTTCTTTTGAGCCTCCCTTTTGTTAAACATGCTATGCACAGTCCACTTGCACTGGCTGGCTGGACCTGCTGATGGGCATGCGGAATTGCAGTTGGTACAGCACATAGTTGCACAGCTCTGCAAGAGACGTCTAAGTCTTGCAAGCATTTTGAGGTCAGCTCCTTGAAAACAATTATCAGGACTAATATTAGAAATAGCAACAATGATGCTAGTAAAACATAACAGTAATCACAATGACAATAGCAATCATACCATGAGTAACACAAGTAATAATGACAAGAATAAGAATAAGAATAAGAATAAGCAGAATAAGAATGGCAATAATCATGATAGTAACAAGAATACCATAAATAACAATATTAACAACAATACTAAAAATAGGAAGAGTAATAGCAAAAATGAATAATAACACTTGCAGCAACCACCCCTGGGCATGTCCTCAGCACACAGCTCCCAGCAGGCCTGCGCTAGACTCGCTTGCCCGCATACCAGGACCATCACAAAGACCGCCAAACCTCAGAAAAAGGTTGTCCATAATTATCAGTTTATTGCTATTATTACTGACACTACTACTAAGATTTCTAATTAAAATATTGTTACTCTTGCTTAGTCCCTCAGGGCTGCCGGCATCAAGCAAGTTCAATCGAGACTGCACAAGAATTAGCCAATGATCAAGACACAGCATGCTGCTTTCTGGTTGTGGCTGGCACAGACAACTCACCAGCACATCCTCAGAGGATGCAGTGGTTGAGTCTGGTGTCCGGGCTTCCAACTGGATGACGGTATCCATATTCGGTTCTAGAAAGTAAGGCACAGAGTACCTCTCGGAGGCCTTGGCATACGCGCACAGTAGAGCATGCTGGACCAACCGCTCACAATCAAACCATGTATGTACATTTGACATGTCGAAAGGAGCAAGCAGCAGAAGGCAAACGGTGCAGAACCTTCATGGGCTTTGTCCCCTCAGAGTTGGGTGTCGAGCGCTCGTCGTTACAACTCGATGTACAGTTGACCTTATGGAAAGCACAGGGCATCCAGGTCATTGCCAGGAAGATTCGATACGTCACACCCAGGCAGCATGCTTCCGACAAGCAAACAAAAGGCATTTCCTTTTCCTTTTTGTCCCTGGCTTCCGAAACTTTGGTCAGTCCAGGCCATAGAAAGAATCTGGCACGTTGAAGAGTGACACCAAGTCCTCAATAGATGCAATGGCGGAAAAAGTCTGAATTCCCTGAATCTGCGGTGTCTTGGGAAACCAGAAAAACGGTCCATGCAAATGCAGAATGCTTGCGGCACCAAGCTGCTAGATTCGGAGGCCGCGTCACCTTGCAGCATAGCATACAGGAAACCAGAACTCACGGACTTGGATCAGCTGCATTCAGCTTACCTGCAGTCTTCCGCATTGCCACTCCAACTGAAGCCCAGTCACCGAAACTGAAAAGGTCTCACCAGAAACACAGGTTTCCGGGACGACGAGGTCATACACGACGCCAAGGTAAGAGATCTGACCAGCTTTTGCGTTTCAATTAAACTAGTTCACCAAGATTCATCACACATGCATGCTGACAATGTCATCAATGTGTACATCAGCCGGACCCTCAGCTGTTGCCCAGGCCCCGAAGTTTCTGGCACGGTCACGTCAATGGCGTCGCCCGCCTGACGGCCAACCTCCCGCAAGAGCGGAGACGTAAGTTGAAGTGGTGTGCGAGAACACTAAGATTATGTTGCCGAGCGAATTGGCCTCAGCAAACATCACTGCGAGGAAGTTGTCGTAGATTTCACCTGCTTTAGACACGTGCTTGTATCTGCGCCAAGCGCCTAGATTCAAGTACAATGCTCTTGCACCATCCACCAACCATGATAAGCATCATAACCAATCTGAGACTCAATCAACAGCCGGGTTGCAAACAGTCACAGCTTCCAAGAAGGCATTCAGGCCATCATCATATTGAAAGCCATGGCCCTCGCTGTTGAGTCTGTGTCTGGGAAGCTGCTAAGTCGCACATCTTTCGAAGCCAAGCTTCATTCTGTTTCTGTAGCCATTGACACAACTCGGTGAGCTCCCGGTCAGTCATCCCGAGCGTGTGAAGGATCTTCCTTTATTCAGCTGCTTGCCGCCATCCCAACAGAAGAGACAACTTCTCCATCCTAAGCCCTCAATCCTAAACCCTAAACCTTAAGTCTTAAACCCTAATTCCAAAACCATAAACCAGGTCGAGGGTTCAGGGTGCTTATCCCCTTCCCCCCCCACCCCCTCCTCTAATATTAGATATTCCCATTGTGGTACATAATTATCAGACATTGGGAATACTTATCATTAGGGTGGCTGGGGTTTAATATTAGGGGGAGAGGATTGGGGTTGTGGGGTGTCAGCTTGGGGCTTGCGTACAGGGTTTGAGCCTTTAGGGCGTTAGGGTTTAGGGCATCACTCCCTACTTGTGTCTGTGTTGGAAAGCCTTGTTGGGGGAGGGCTCAGGGCTTCAGGGTTGCAGGCAGGGGGGTTAACGCTTTGGGCGTGCCGGGTTAGAGAATTCAGAAAATCCACATCAAGACCCCTTGCACCATCTCATCAACATGACATGCCATAGCGACTTGGTCCAGGCTTCTGCATCTGTCGCTCGAAGATCGCACGATATTCGTCGTGGCAGGTCTTCCAGACCTGACACGCGGAGACCTATCTGAAACATCCTTGCCTGCAGAACAGCATGGAACCAAGCCAAGAAGCGTGAGGATGGCTTCCATCTTCGCACACGAGCAGAAACTCGGGTGCTCGGGCTACAATGAAGGCCTCACCACATCCCCATTCCAGAAAAGCGCGTGCAGGATTCAACCAGAACTGAAATCCAGCACGGTCCCCTGCTCTCAGCTCGCGCCTGAAGATCCCGTCGAAAGCTGGGATCCTAGCAAGTGCGAGACAGAAATCCAAACCGAAATCTGGCTGGACAACGCAGCCAGATATACATATCGTTACAGACATCTAACAACTGTTAGAACTCTTGCGAAACAGGAGTTCAGTGAGGCCTGCAAAAAACCGCTGATCAACGGCTCCAGACAGGAACCTTAGTCTTGGCTACCAGCAGAGTCAGCCGATGTCCGCATAGGTCCACAAGCTCACACAACTTCACACAAGCACGCTCGAAAAGACAAAGGCCTCCTACAGTCATGTGATCCTGTCTTCATTTTCACATCCGGTAGCCGCAAACCGGCGCATGGAATGCCAGCCGCTCGTAGAGCTCCTCCGAGGGGCCAAGCGTATGTTCACAGTGCATGCAAAGGTGCTTTGTGCACAGAACATCAGTCATGGTATCCCACGGCTTCGCTTCGATTCTTCCTCCACATCTGCCTCTGGTGGCGGAGGAGGAGGTGGCGGCGCTGCCATGGCCAGACTCTCTAGGATTCATGCGTTTGAACAGTTTACATGGGCTCAGGATATTGACTGAAAAGCTGTATCCAGAAACGGACAAGTTGAATCGTCTGCAGAAAACAGACAAAAAATGCATCTAACCCTTCACCTGAAACAGCCAGCTTCAGATCCTGTACTTGCTGCTTCTATGCAATGATTGCCAGCAAGCTGAAGAGCCAAGATTGAAAAGGTAGAACCTAACGAAGTCAAAGCCAAATGTCTTTTCCCACCGGCATAGACTTCAGAAAAACTAAATTCTGTGGGTCGTGCTTAAAACGATGGGCGGTCCATCGGCTCAGCATGTCACCCAAGTTGATGACAAAAGCGTTCTTCACCTATGCAGGGCATGATGCCCAGCTCCAAAGACACTAGCAACAGGTAAAGCTATGCTGGCAAAGCTTTGTCTGCTTGCTGGCCGCACAACGCAGCCATGAGACAGACTGTGAGCAAGCAGCATCCAAGCAGCACTCTTGGGATCCAACCGGACAGCAGTGAATCCACCGACCATCCTTCGCATTGAGGACCTGCGCTGTTGGGCGCTTCTTTATGCCTCAGACCCTGTCAAGGCTGTGCTCCCCGAACACTGAGCAGCATCAGGCTGGCTTGAGCTCTAGCTTGCAAACCTCTGTGCGATAGCTTGCTGATTTCCAAATTTGTTAGCGAAACATGTGACGGGATGTGCGCTGCATGCCAAAGCTGTGCATCGCCTAGCCTGCAGTCCGCCCACCATATCCTTTCACTCTGCTGTGAGGCATGCAACATCCCTCTTGCAAATAGCAACGCATGTTTGCTGAAAGCAGAATACTGCCCATGTCCTGTTTCAGGATAGTGAGCAGGCCATAGTCTGTATGCTCTCCAACACCGATCTCGGTGTTGTAGTCCTTCGGAATGTCGCCATTCCAACTGACTTGCAACATGAGGGCACATATAACAGCGGCACGATACCAACATGCTGCAACAAATGGACCTCTAGCGGCCAGTAGTGCAGAAGCCGGTGTGTAGCAACCTCGCTGCAGCTCTGATCTTCAGCGTGTGACTCGTAGGCCTTCGCTACAGGTCTTGCTCGCAGGCGCTAGTCAGGATAGTAATTAGAACTTGCGGTTGCTCAGGCGAAGGCAGGCTGAGTCAAATGCCTGGGCTCTGGGTGCTTATCGACTTAGTTGATGCGTAGCAGAGCATGCGGCCATTGTCAAGCACAAGGTTGGCAAAACTGTCTAAGATGCTACCTGAGTACTGGACAATGAAACAGATAGCACCACATGGATCTGGACCATATCTTTGTCATTCAAGATCCAATTACATAGTCCGACAGACCTCCAACTGCCTCTCATGTCCTTGCCAAAATGATGAGGCATACGACAACACTTGAAAGCTTGGACTAGCAGGTGTCTCTTCTACTACCACTGCAGAACTTGCAAAAGGGTCTAGCTGCTATACATTGAGCTGAGGGAATCTGAAGCAAGAGAGGAAGGCTTGAGCCAAGCAACTGCTCGAAAAAATCCCTCGGCTTGCCGAGGGCTAAAGCCATGAGCGCCAAGAGCCTGCCATCATCACGCATCAGGACTGTGTATGCAAATCCTCTACAACACGTGCTTGTTGCTATATCTCCAATGATGTGCATCAGCTGGGCTGCTATTGCATCATCAGGGTCGCTCTGAGCAACATAATGCAAGTTCAACTACTTAGCGCAACTCTTACTTGCAGCGGCAAAAAGTTTTGTAGCTCTAGGATGAATGTCAAACTGTTCAGACTGCATTCGCATTGGAAAAAAGTGCCTCCTGGCCAAGCGGAACATTTCAGAAGCCTGAAGCACACCATTGACAAGACAAGAGTCTCCGGAGCTCGCAACTCCCAACTTCGCAGCTTGAAAAAGCTGCAGCTCAAGCAAGGCTGCGCGCGTATTCATCCAGAACAGCTCGGAAGCCTGCAAGTTCCTCCTGGAAATCTGCTGGTGGCCAAGATACTCTTTAAGGCAAGGATGGCTATTGAAAGAATACTAAGTTACTACCCATTCTTACCAGTTGACTTTCAGGATTCTGGTAACTAGTACATTCCTCTTCGGGCTTGTTTCCAAGGAGTTTCGAATCTCTGCCCGCAGCAAGCTCCTCTGAGGGTAGCTGCGAAGGCCTCGCACACAAAATGCATCAGAAACGTACGTCGAAGCTCTTTAAGCACATTCCCACGCAGCACATCGCTACGCAGCAAAGCCCACTAGCAACCGGTCATCCTCGCTACAACGGTGATCCAGGTGCTAAAGCTTCTGAGCCTGCGGCTGACCAAAGATTTCAGCAACGAACCCTCCAATCGGCCGTGCCCAGGGAACTCCGTTGCAATCCAGAGCCTTGAGCTTCTGGGCAATTCCATGCAGCTCCCGGATTGCACCACGTGGAAAGAATGCTGCTACACCGCCTACCCTTCGTGCACCAGACTCTGCTAAATGTTATCCACCCAGTGCCTCCTTCTTGTCCTTGCGAGATTTGCTGATGCTGTCCTGCCGTGCAGCAAGAAGACCCCTTCATTAGCACTAGCAGCATGATCTGTGCGCTCTTTGGTGTAAACATTCGATCGAGCTTGTTTGATCTGCTGGAATGATAGCTCAAGTCATCATCTTCGTGATCAGAGACGCTGCGCTGCAGGCCTTGCCGTTTGCATCATCTACCTGGAAGCATCTGTGATGTAGACAATTGCAATACATCTTGAAGCGATTCTTCGAAAGACTCATGCACCTCAACAGCCTGTGAAATTACTAGGAATGTGGGTGCCCTGGCCTGCTTCTCCAGGACCTGGTCCAAATCCTACGCTTTTGCAGCAGATGCCGGAAACGCTCAGACGCAATTCCATGATTTCGTCATCCTCTGACACGCCAGCATCAGCCCTGCACCAGCTCCGTCCTCTCCGCCGCGGCCAAAGTACCCGCGGACAGGGCCTGGAGAACCGGAGAGATGAGATTGAAGCATTAGGAACTCTTAGAGCTGTATCATCAAGAAGGATCCAAGATGGCCGCTGTCATCGCTGAGCTTCAACCGCTCCTGGTGGATGCCACAGCAACATCTGCCATCTGGGCATGGTCCCACTCGAGCCTTCACAGAGTGCGGCAGCGCGAAGAACTTCTGCTGCAAGTCCTACAGGTACATGTATCACTTCGGAGCATGCCAGTAAACCTCTTGGATTTGAAGTGGCATTGTCATGTTCTGCGAGCTATTCTGCTCAACACTGCATCTAGGATCATGTAGGGTGCAGCCTACGGCTTCACTTGAGTAGAAATCATCAGCTCACATGTCTCCACTAGGAAGCCACACCATGTGCTTCCGCTGCAACTCTTCTGAGATGCCATGCCTCAGCTTCATGGTGGTCTGCCACTGGAGCCCACCCAAATGCCAGGTTACAGCAGCTGCCCTGCTTCAGTTTTTTCTTGGTCTTGCATGTACTCACTGGCACATGTACAAAATCACTGAGGTTGCCAGCCCTGTGACCTGCATGAAGCCCACTACCTGACTTGCGAAAAAGCATGCCTTCAGCTTCTTGGTAACGTGCTTCAGATCTTTGTGGGATCTAGTGACACTTCTACCACAGCAAATGAGGATCTGCAAAGCTCGCTGTAAGCTTTAAGACTCCAGCCTCGCAAGCATAGCAGATCTCGTTCACAAGCTCTGCCTGGAATTACAGCGATCATCTTCTCAAACGTTTCTGCCATACCGGCATCGCAAACCTTGCACATGCTGGCCTCATCTTGTGCTAAGTCAATGATTGGCACATCTTGGAACGACTTTGGGTCCACAATTTTTGCCTGTCAGACGGCCGCATGCATTCAATGTGTCATGAACTGTGTTCACAAAGCAGGAAGCTGGTGCCAGTGCGCCTTTAATTCATCCGGCAAATTTGCAGGAATGTTGGGCTCGCACGATGCGAGTATAGAGGAAGGAACTTTGCCTGGAGGTTGCATCATAAAACATGCCCAGGGTGGGAACAACAAGAGTGCAATTGATGTCGATTGCAGCACGTCGCCGCTAACAAATGAGAAGTAAGTGTCGGAGTTCTATAAAAGCTGAGGCGTCCAATTTTCAACCAATATCATAAAGTGGGCTAATCTGACCTTGACCCACAACACTCTTTGGCAAGTTCCAATGCAAACGCGGGAGCGAGTCAGTCCCTTGCCAAAGTGCTCTCCAATCTGAACACAGCGCACTCCGCCTCTAACATAAATGTTATCTTCGCGGTCACTGGATTGAACCTCAGCTCAGTGCGGCTTTCATTAAGAAACTACCCAAGAAGTCCTAGTTTCATCATTCTGTCTCAGGTGACCATGCAAAAAATGACTGAAAGTCTTGAGCTCCCAGCCAGCTCTAAGTTGATTCCTAACTCCGACGCCTTGTTCGTGTCAATGACCTTGCAGCTTGGCCAAGCTGTATGCGAAGGACGAAGGGAGAAAGCAAGCGGTTGCTTGTGAATGGGCGTCCAACATGGTGCTACGAGGTCTCACCCCTGATGCCTTAAGCTTGCTGGTTGTTATTAGGGAATAAGGGAATAGTATCCCCACATGATCCCTATATACATATAGGGAATAAGGGAATACCTTTTACAGGGATTACGTAGGAATAATATTCTCATGTTCCCTACTAGCAACCAGAGGTAAGTTCTGGACGAAAATCGCGTCGGGCTGTCTATCAAGACCAGCGCGGTCCTGCTGCTCTTTTTCCAATTGAGCTCAGTCTGGGTTACTATACGGGATATTGAAGGAGATGCAAGGAGTTTGGACTATAGCTCAAGTGATTGCAGCATGCCGGGCGAATCATCAAAACGAAAGAGATTGCCTCTTGTGATTGATGCAAGAAATCACCCCATCGTTGCAAGTCCTTATCCAAGAGGAACGGAGAAACCTCTGCAGGGAATCATTCGCTGACTGCACTTCATCTTCCAGTTTTGACAACTTCTTCATCTGCTCAAAAGCTGAAAGCGCTCAGTAGCAGGGCCGAGCCTGGCTACTATCCTCTTGCTCTTGCAGAGCCTGAAAACAAAGCGAGGCTATGCCATGCTATGCCAAAGAAAGGAAGCCACGCATGAACTTGACACTTGACACTTGCTAGTTCGTCGAAATTCCTCGAACATCTGCCATAAAGAACTGAAATCTGGTATTGCTGCGTGGCGTCCTGCAGCAGCTCCTCGCTCCGCTTCGATGAACTTTGGCCGCCACCTTTGCAGCCCAGCGGGCGTGTTCTGAGCAGATCATTTTCCCCAGCCATTATTCAGAATCTCTGCTGCAGGAAATGAAGCGCTGGAAAACTTGGCAGGCTGGCGGAGAGTGTAGATGTGCGACCTGAGCCCGGCTTTCGGAAGTCTTTACACGTAGCGGCGTAGCAGCAGCATGACCCGACACTGATGCTCGGCATCAGGCTCTGCACCCTGCAACAGGTCCTTGAAGGGCCGTCCTTGGCAATGGTCATGAGCAGCCATGTTCTCAAGTGTCCGCCCCAAGCGGTGAAACTTGGCTTTGCTTACAACCCTCATTCAGGAGGCTTAGGAACTGCCGACTCGTAGCGCCCAAATCTCTACAGGCTTGTGTATTTTTTTTCTGGCCGCAGATGCTTCCGGTGCTGCCAAGCAGCTTGTGTGCGACAAAGGATTCTTGGCCGGCACCAGGCCTCGCCAACGAGAAGCAGTGCAGAACTCCAACATCACTCGGTGAACTGCGATGGCTTTGATAGTTCCAAGCTCGCAGGATTGCTTTAGACTTGAGGACTTGTGGTCTTCCCGTGACTTTGGCAGAACCCTTACGTCAAGTTTCCCTTTGGCAAGGCAGCTCAGCCCCTCACCTTCTCGCAGGATTCCGTCCACGTTCTCCCAGTATGTCGCATGCAAAAGATACCTTGCATAATACGCGACAGCTTCCCACATGGGAGGGGACCGAAAAAGAACGCATGCAAAAACAGAGAAGGAAAAAGAAGACAAGCAAACTTCCAAGCTCCCTGCTGAGGCCGCACGACCTTCGGGACCTTGTTAGCCTCAAAGAACATGCCAGTGGCTAGGCAGAGTGGGCTCACTTCGGGTGACCAGTTCCAAAAGACCAAAGCGCCTGCATCAACGGGTCCTCCTTAGACTGGAACAGGACGTTGCCACGACCTGTCCAAACGGAGCCAGTGGCCAATCCACTTGGGCTGGCAAGTCTGAAGTTTCTCGACATGCGCCCACTATCATGCTTCCTACGTTTGCATCACTGTGCGTAGCCGGTTTGGGTTTGGCCTGGAATATCAACAGAGACAGGCTAGGATTTGAACGGAAAAGGTCGTCTTCACATGAAATTTGCTCAGCCATGTTCAGGGCCTGGGCCCTGTCTCTGGTCCACAACTTTCTGGAAGAACCATGGCCGGATCCTCAGTGCGACGATGACACAGCAAAGATAACCCCGGTTTACATGTATGTGTTTATCCTATGTTCCGTTTGATTCCCGGAAATTATGATAAGATGCCTCTATATTTCCTATATAACCCCAATTAGAAACAAACCCTAAACCATCTTAACTCGAATCTCCAGCAACCAAGGTGGCGGCACTCCGTCAATCCCACGAGTTTTCCAAGTGCCCTCCTTGGCCTTTGTTTGGATGGCTGGCTTCACTTCTAAAAACCCTACCAGTCAGAGACTTAGACGCTTGCATCATAGTCGAACTCCATGTTTTCGCTTCTGGCCTCGCAGTCCCAAAAGCCGGGAAGAGCATACTTGGGCAAGTGGCTTTTGCCTTGACTTCGTCGATGAAGATGAGGATCTCGGGCGCTTCCTTCAGGCCGGGAACCTGAGGAAACCAAAAGCCTCGAAGCTGGGGACTCCGCCTCCCTTGCCTCCAAGGCCCCAACCCTACCATCAGGGCGAACTTCATCGATCATGAAAATTTCGCTCTTGGCCGCTTTCAGCCCTGCATGCAGCTGGCGATGGCTAGCGGCTGTGATCGTGAACATGCTCTGAAGCCAGGCCTTGCTCCATGATGGGCGCGAAGTTCCGGAACTTTGTGCCGTGAACAAAAGCTCCGCTGTTGTGGTATCGTGGCCTCGCTTGCTCCATCATGAACGAACTACCAGGCATGTCTTGGATGTGACGGGCAGCTGCAATGTGGCTCTGGGTGCTAGACGGCGCAGTGAAGGCTGACATCTGCTTCGACTGGCAAGCAAGGCTACCAATGACAGCAAGATACAGGAAGGGCTCGAACAACTGCATTCGCAGTCCAACTGAGCACGCGGCAGACAGTACGGAGATGCTGCCTTTCGTATCAGAGAACTGCGATACCTGAGGAAATGCCTAGAATCACATGTACTGTCGCACGCTCATTAATACAACTGTCAAGATATGTCAGGTCACACTGCCGATGTAGCTGCCTGCCATGTGTGACACCACCTGGGCTTCTAGCAGAGCTCATGGCGCATAACTTGGGTGTACAAAGCATCCACGTGTTGTTCCGTCCCACGTTCTGCTTGTGGGCGTAAGTTAAGCCGACTGCCGATGCAACATCGCTAAGGTTGCTGATGTCATCCGGATCCTGCATGCTTGTGTTCTATCGAGTGCTTGGCCTCTGCCTTGCGGCAGCATGCCGGGATGATTCCATATTTTTATGTAGCAGCAACGATCGATGCCAGAGCGACGTATGACTCATAAATTTCAGAGACGTTGAAGTATCCATACATGGGGTCATGCTCCGGTGGGGCAAATACCTCGGAATATCTCAGGACAAAGTTTTAAATGACAGCAGGCCTCCTGCAGAACCGGGAGCGCCTGGCGGCATGTCAAACGAAGTGTAACAGCTGAAGACAAATCACAGCAGAAGCCTGAAGATGCGGGCTACTGGCGACGTTCGGCATGTTGGCCGATCAGAAGCCAGCGTCCGGTCCAGGCCTCAAAGACCAAAAGCTCCGGCAGCCACAGTTCTACGTGTCAAGTGATGTGTTGAATTCAAGTGATGTGTTGAATCAAAAAACTGACGATATGGAATGTGCAACGGAAATGCAGGAGATGTGCATGTGCGTGCGCCTCCCCCCGCTCCGCGAGTTCAGAGCCCCGAACCCGAGCTGAGCCAGCTGAGACGCTGCGGTTGGCTGCAGTTTTTAGATTGATCGGCTTTCATGACACTGATGAAAACTTTGATCTTTCCCCCTTCTTAAACCCCTCCATCCGTGAACCAAGCTGTTGTTTGGGGACCTGATAATTTGAACACAAAACAGTTCAATGGCTCACGTGAGCGCTTCGGTCGATTTGTGGTTAATGCGAATTGGTGCCTAATTGGTTCGTTGAATCCTCGGTGCGCCCATTGAACCAAAACCAGCTACAATCAACATGCTCCACATCCTTGGAATTCTCTTGATAACCCTGATACAAGGGCAGCACACTTCTTTATTAACAAAAAGATGACGGAGAAAAAGAGTCACAAAACGAAACAACAACAGTCAGTGTTCCCCTCACTCACATGATGTTGATGCACGAAGCCAACACACAACAAATGTTTACACAATACTCACTAGCGTTTTTCCTCCAGGTCAAATCCTACTTGGTTTCCAACCTGCAAAACCAATTGTAACACGTGCGGCTGCTCAAAATATTGCATGCTATGTGTTTTTGCGGCTCGAACTTGCAATGCCCAACCCGGGGTGCCCAACCATGGTTATGTCCCCGCCGTA